ACAGATTGGCTTGGAGTTGCCGACACATCTTCCCAGCACTCTTCATCTGCTTCTCCTAACCCAGCAATTCTAACTTCCGAAGGAAAAACCTCAGTATACCAGAGGTGTGGTTTCAACCCCACATTTATTGTAGCATTGCTCACAACAGCCAGGACCTGGAATGGGCTAAGAATCCATCGACATATGAGTAAAGAAAACAGACAGATGCCCTATGGAATACTGTTTTAGAAAGAAGACTATTGTGCAGCTGGAGAGATGGCTCAGTGGTTAAGGGCACTGGCTACTCTTCCAGAGGACCCGGGTTCAATTCCCAGCACCCACATGGTAGATTACAACCCTCTGTAACTCCAGTTCCAGGCAATCTGACACCCTCTTCTGGCCTCTGTGGACATTACACCCATGTGGTGCTCATATAGACATGCAGGCAACACACTCATACACGTAAAATAAAAATAAAATTAAAAGAGAGAAAGGAATTCTGCCCTTTGTGACAATGTGGGTTAACATGGAGGGGTTAGATTGAAATGGAAAAGCCAGGAAAAATCAGTACCATATGCTCTTACCGTGCAGGGCTCTGACCATGGTAGGTTCACAGAAGTAGAGAGTAGAATGGTGCTACCAGCAGGTGAGGGAGGTGTGTACCCAGCATAGGGCACACATTTTTCAGTTAGGCAGGAGGAATAAGCTTATTGACCTCATGTTTAGGATGGTAACTGTAACAAATCATGAGTTGCATGTTGTTGTGGGTCAATCTTTTTATACAATGTGAAGATGTGTGTCTGCTAAAGCACCTTCAGATTGCTTTAATAAAGAGCTGAATGGCCAATAGAGAGGATAGGTGGGACTTCCAGGGAGAGAGAGGAACTTGGGAAGAATCTGAGGCGTGCGGGAATAGGGCAGTGGGGGGTGGGGCTGGACATTCAGTATATGGAGGAGAGGTAACAAACCACATGACAGAATATAGATTAATATAAATGGGTTAATTTAAGTCATAAGAGCTAGTTGGGAACAAGTCTAAGCTAAGGCCAAGCTTTCATAATTAATAAGAAATCTCCTTGTCATTTGATTTGGGAACTGGAAGTCCAAAGAAAGTCTGACTACAACATGTTCCTATAGACTCTCCTACCCCTCAAAAAATGAAAGAAGGGAGCCTTGAGTGTTCTTGCCACTAAAGGGTCTTCTAAATTGTTTTGTTTAATACTCAAAGTCTAATAAATACGTCTGCATATTATAAAACACTACCCAAATGCTTTCTGAATTCAAAATTAAGGCTAATACTAAAAGAATCTGGTAATTCTTTCTGGAACATTGGCTGAACACTGGTTACTCTTCTAAAAGCTGGAGATGCCTAGAAGCAAGCCGATGAGATGCCTACCCAACCAGCAATGCTTTCTGATAGGCAAAACAAATCCCTTTTGGAGGAGTCTGCTTACATGCTCAAATCTGGGGCAGACATGAACCTATCAATGGGAAAAGAATTTCTTGAGATAGTTTATCCTTAAGCTAACACACACACACACACACACACACACACACACACACACACAGCACACATGCACACACACAGCACACAACATACACATACACACACTCACACACACAGCACACATTTCCTCTAAAAACAAGAAACATTTTTAAAGTGTAATTTTCTCACTTCTTTGTGCCTCTAGATGAAAAGAAACAACAGACTGTAGACTCAAGGGAACTCGTAAGATTTCTAGACCATCTATGCAGCAGTTTGAGTAAGAATGTCCCCCCGAGGCTCAGATGTTTGAACACTTGGTCTCCAGTAGGTGGCGCTGTTTGGGGGAGGTTTAGGAGCTATAGCCTCATTGGAGGAGGTATGTCACTGGAGAGTTTATGACTCCGTGCCACTTCCCACTGACTCTCTGCGTTGTGCTTGTGACAGAGGGTGTAAGCTCTCAGCACCCTACTGCTGCTGACACACTGCCCCGTCTCCCTGCCACAAAGGACCATAGGCCAAATCAACTCTTTTTTTCTACAAGGTGCCTTGGTTTGGTGTTTTAGCACCGCAACAGAAAAGTAACCGGTATAACTTGCCGTTCACATACATGATGCAAGCCACCTCCCTGCCGCATTTTTCTATGTTCAGAATTCACAAAGGCACCTACTTTGTCTTGTTATTGGGAATAACGTGTTACCATTTCTAACATGCCCAGGATGCACCTGGTGCGCGCACGTGCATACACACACACACACACACACACACACACACACACACACACACACACACACACACCAACCTCTGAAACCCTTAGTATTTCTCTTCTCCTGTTACTGTTGAATCCTATTTGATTTTTTACTCATCAAGGGGCCTTAGTTGCCTTTCTGTCTTCCCTGAACTTCACAATCGCTTCCAATTTAATCTCCACCGTGAATTTAATTAAAGTTCTGTTAGCAGCTACCTCTTGTAGACCATTAATGAAGCCGCTGGGTCAAATGTAATAAAAGTCCCTGGAGCAGACGTCAGACGTTCTATTAATAACTGTTTGCTTCTCTTTGTCTGTGCTCAGACTGTACGGCCGCTCCCCCCAACTTCCTCACTGGGAAAATAAAAATGAATAAAGCGCCTGAGAAAGCTGTGGCAAGGACCCCGGAACCACACCACGGCATCAAGGCAGAAACTTGCTTCTGCTAGGGAGGAAAAAAAGAATAGTTGACATCAGTAAGGAATTTTCCAGAGAACAAAGAGAGGTTTCCAATACTAAAATCAACAAACCTGGTGGGCTGGATTTAGATATCATTCTGATCATATATACCATCTGTAAGTAGGGAGGGACTCATGGGTCTTAGGGCCCAATTTCTAACTCTAATCAGATCCTCTGCAGCCTTGGTACTCAGAGTACGGTGACCTGGAAGTCTGTCAGAAAAATGGAATCAGGGTTCCTACTCAAGAATTTGCATTTTAATATGATAATTTATGTATTTTTTAAAGATTAAGAATCATTATCTTAGCTGATCAACTTACAGCTGATCTGAGAACCAGTAGGTAAATAAACCCATGGTGTGTGTGTGTGTGTACATATATGCGAATGTGTTTGTGTATGTGTGTGCATATGTGTGTATGCGTGCGTGTATGTGAGGGGGTATGTGTTTATGTGGGGATATGTGTGTTTATGTGTGTGTATGTATGTGTATATGTATATGTGTATGTAGGTGTGTGCACATGTATGTGTATGTATGTATATATGTATATTGTATGTGGGGATATGTGTATGTGTGTATGAGTGTGTGCTTCTGTGTGTGTATGTATATGTGTATATGTGCATGTATATACATGCGCACATGTGTGTATATGTGTTCGTATGCCTGTGTATTGTGTGCCTGTGTATGTGGGTATGTGTTTATGTGTGTGTTGCATGTGTGTGCATATGTTTATATGTTTATGTAATGTGTATATGTATGTGTGGTGTGTGTGTGTAAATGTGTATGTGCAGAAGATGTACATGTATGGGAGGGGAAGAGTGTGTCCAGGTACAGAGTCTCCAAATCTCAGAAGCAGAATGAACTTTTTAAGAGATTGTTGTAGAAATGAGGGGCGTGCTCATGTTCTCCTGGGTTCTCCCTCACTCACAGATTGTTGTAGAAATGAGGGGCGTGCTCATGTTCTTCTGGCTTCTCCCTCACTCACAGATTGTTCTAGTCTAGAAATGAGGGGAGCGCTCATGTTCTCCTGGGTTCTCCCTCACTCACAGATTGTTGTAGAAATGAAGGGAGCGCTCATGTTCTTCGGGGTTCTCCCTCACTCACTTTGACCTTGACAGAGCCCCCTGATTCTTTGCTCCCCTTTGATCTGTGCACTTGGTTTCCCGCTCGGTTTCTAACTCTTACCTGGGAACTGGACACTGGGAGGCCACAGGATTAATGTTTAATCCCAACTGCAAGATGGTTTTTGTACAAGTAGATGTTTGCGCCACAGCCAGGGCCTGTGGGAGGAGGCGACTTACACGGAGACCCGGCATTCCAGGGCTTGTGAGTTCAACTGTCACTGAGGGTCAGAGTGCGGTCTGGGCTCACCTGCGGCTCCAGTTTCTGCACAGCTGTCTGAAAATCAGACAGAGATAAAAACCAAAGGTGCCATGTTTGCATGAGTCAGCTGGAAAGAGGTCCAGCGGCAGTCTCCTCCATTCTTCAACACGTCCAGGTTGGTCCCTGCAGGGAGCCCAACCACAGATGTTCCCTTCAAAATCCTTCAAAAGTACACATGGTCTTCAATTTAAAACAAAAAAAGTACTAATTAAAAATCATTGTATGTTTCCTAACCAAATTAGAGTCTTCCCCATGAACAGAGCCCACGTCTCTTACACCATTAGAGCCACCAAGGAGCTGTGTGTCTAGATGCGCAGACTCCCTGAGCTTCTGGCTCCTCTGCTATGGAGTGGAAATAATAACTGAAGAATTTAAAAGAAACAAAAGGGTAAGCACAAAGTCAGCTCCATAAAGACCACCGAGTTCTCTGCCGCCAAGTCAGATGAGCCTACAGCCCACACACATCCCCCCACCCCCTTCCCCCCACCCCGCTCCCGTCTCTCCATATCAAAGGAAGGAGGCCAGGACAGGGCTGCCCCCACAACAAAACAGGAGGCCTGGTTCCCCTGGCACCCATCAGTTGGTTCCTCTTTACCTTTAACAATGTGTGCGTGTGTGTGTGTGTGTGTGTGTGTGTGTGTGTGTGTGTGTGTGTGTGTAAGCCTGGGAAAATGACTGCAGCAGAGTGACGTAATGAAAAGTGAAAAACACAACACGTTTTCACCTCCTTGTTTCCTGGAATGGAAGCAGTTTCTCTCCGAGGCTTGAGTTCTCTCCTGTGAGACAGGAGCCTTGAGCATCATGGGGGTGGGGGGGTGGGGGGGTGGGAGGGGGAGACGGTGGGATGCAGATAAGATCCCCAATATACACAGTAACGTGAATGAAACAGAAGATAATTAGATGCTTCTGAAATACCTATGTGTCTTCTAAAAAACGGGAGAAAATGCCAGTCGAATGCAGCTGACAGATTGTATCTTGTTGCCTAGCACCAGCCTGGAGTGACTAGGTGTTGCTAGGCAACCCATCCTCCTGGGCTTGGTGATGCAGCAAACACTAGACAGATGCTTTACCTCCGTTGCCCTGCAGCCCTCACGATGTTCTCATCTGCAAGATTCACACCTGATTAATGTCTCCTAGGGACTTTTTTTTCCCATTCAGATAGGGTGCTGCAGGATTACCCGTGCTCAGGCAAGCCTGGCTGCTTAACTGAAGAAAACCTCACAGAAAAAAAACCAAATGGTCCTCTGAAGACTAACCTGCCATGCTGAGATGGGAGCCTGGGCTCCAGAGTGGAGGGCAGGAATCTGAATCATTTCTCCCAGAAGTTACCAAATGGCCATCGGCGCACCAAAGGCAGGTTAGCCTGGTACTTATTAGACTGCCCTGAGCCAGAATGCAGTGTGACCAGGTTCATTGTCATTGCCCTAAACTATTTGGGGGAGACAGGTGTTCCTCTCCAGCAGGGAGCTTCCTGTATCTGATGATGAGGTGTCTGGGTTCAGAGGAAGAGCCCAAGGTAAAGAGAAATGACTGATGACGCCCTCCTCTTATGCAAGGAATTTCAGAATAAGAGGAAAAAACACAATTTTTATTCTGCCTTCCTTCTGTGGATTCCTGTTTGCTTACCACAAAGTCTAGTGTGGATGTGAGGGTCTATCTAGCCAGGCTTTGTACTAACTCTGACTTTCCAAGAAGCTCTAGTGATAAAAAGATACAACCACATCAAACTAACATTGGTGGTGTGCAAGAGAGAGACATGCTCGGCTTGGAGCAGGTGGCAGGTGTGTGGGCGATTCCTGGGTTACCCGGCGGCCATTTTCATTCTGACCAGGCCATGCCTGTGTCTCCCCTCCTGCTTCCCTGCTGTTCACAAGCTCTCTACGCATTCCCACAACCTCATGCTTCAAGTTAGTGTGCCGCTTTAGGGAGAGCTGCAGAGCCCAAGGGGAGAGAGAGCTTCTCATGCCAGAAGCTCAGTGGCCAAAGAAATGAAACTCTATTCGGATCAACTCCAATTGTTCATTGAGGGTTCCTGCCAGCTGGTGGGAAGAAAAGTCGTTACTGCCCTGGAACCCGGGGGGGGGGGGGGGGGGGGGGCTCCTGAGAACCTGGGAAGAAGAGTCTTTATGTTAGCCAGCTCTCCATCACCATGACAAAGCACTTGATTTTATTTTTTATTCTTGCCTCCTACATTCAGGGTTTTCCGTCAGTCCCTGCTCGGGGACCTGTGGTGACATGTATAACATGACAGAGTGTGGTAGAAGAGGCTGTTCACCTCATGAGATCGGAAAGGAAATGGCCGGGACATGTCCCAGCGACCTACCTTCCTTCTACTGGGCATCACCTCCTAAAGGCTCCACTACCCTCCAGCTGCCTGTCAGCTTGAGGCTGAGCCTTCAACACACGGCCCTTGGGGAGCATTGGAAGTCCACGCTACCGCCACCCCAGCTCCCGGCTATGCTGGAGCTGGGCGGTTCTCTCCTCCTCACCCTCTCTACTCCTTGAAGCTCCCGCCTTCGGTCCCACAGACGAGGTACTGAGCCCCGAGGCCTCAAGCCCCCGTCAGCCATTTCCATGTCCATCAAGGCCGGTGGAACTCCTCCATTTTCTGATCCCCCGTGTCCAACCCCAAGCAGTATTAAGTTGTGGTTTTCTTGTTTCAGATTTCCAAAATGAGTCAGAAGCAACGTCCTCGGCTGCTTCTTCTTCTTCTAGTCCTGGAAAATGCCTGAGCAAAGAGAACTGTCAGTTGGTCTGTAACTGCAGAGAACTACAACTGTCAGTCTCAAACTCCTAAAAAACAAAAAACAAAAAACCGTAATTCCCCCTCCCCCAGGCTCTTCTATGCTGTCCTGGCCAGCCTGGAACTCCCTATGAACACAGGGCTAGCCTATGTAGTGAGTTCCAGGGAAGCCAGAGTTACATGGTAAGACCCTAAGTCAAGAAGAAGAAGGAAGCCAGGCGGTGGTGGCGCACGCCTTTAATCCCAGCACTCGGGAGGCAGAGCCAAGCAGATCTCTCTGAGTTCGAGGCCAGCCTGGGCTACAGAGTGAGTTCCAGGAAAGGCACCAAAGCTACACAGAGAGACCCTGTCTCGAAAAATCAAAAGAGAGAGAGAGAGAGAGAGAGAGAGAGAGAGAGAGAGAGAGAGAGAGAGAGAGAGGAAGAAGAAGAAGAAGAAGAAGAAGAAGAAGAAGAAGAAGAAGAAGAAGAAGAAGAAGAAGAAGAAGAAGAAGAAAGAGGAGGAAGAAGTCTTCTGACACATGCTGTAAAACAGACATGCTAAGTAAAATCAATCACGTGACTCCCTGACAGCAGGTACCTAGTGAAGTCCAGTTCGTAAGAACAGAACCTGCATTGGTGGTACCAGGAGCTGGGGTAGGGAACTGTCAATGGCTATAGAATTTCAATTTTACAAGTTAAACACCCTGCATAAGAACGAGGCGTTGTCCTCACAAAACCAGCACATCGGTCTTCTTCTACTGTCCTGTCCACCTGTCCCCCTGTCCCTCCCACTACAACCCATCTCTGCAGGCAGGGGAGTGACCATGACTATTTGAGGCAAGATGTGACACGTGTGCAAACAGAGGCACAAAGAAAGCCTGAGGAGTCCCGGGGGAAGTGTGGTTCAACCCAGCAAGAAAGACTGGGATGGAGTCCTTTCCTTGCACAAGCCTGAGACTCCCGCACACACGGTCCCTCTCCAGAACCCAAGATTGCTCTGATTTTCAGATCCCCTGGGGACTGGGGCTGCGTGAGTTATTTGTCTCTCTGCTGGCACAAAACACCTGCTCAAAGCAGTTTAAGGAAAGCAACGTTTGTTTGGGCTCACAGTCGGAGGGCAACATCCATCTGCAGGAAGGCACAGCAGTGGGGGCTCGGTGCGTCTGCTCACACTGTCAGGAAGCAGAGAGAGGCGACTTCCGGTGTTCAACTTTCTTCATGTTCAACCTCAGTCAAACCTCTCTGCAAATGCCCTCACAGCCACGTCCAAAGGTAGGTCTCCTCAGAGACTCTAAGCAGGTGAAGCAGTCACTAAAGATTAACCAGGGACCGGGGTGGGGGAAGGGGGGAGGGGGGAGTGAGGAGCTGATTTCTACGTGTCTGAAAATGACCCACATATCTGCTGTCTCCCCAAAGACTGCAGAGTGACCCTAGACCCAGGACTAAGGTCCCATCAATGCATGTACTCAGCATTCCCAACAGCAGGTAAAGCGAGATCTAGTCCAAACATTCAGCCCACTAACTGGTCAGAACCCCCCTGGACCAATGCCAACGTCTGGCTCCCACCCAGTTTCCTGCTGGGGCAGGGCCCAGACAGCTGTATCTAAGAGCTGGGCAGCTCCAGGTTCAAGCTGGGTGGTCTGATCCATTGCCAGCAGCAGGCTAGAGGCAGACTTACTCACGGGCTCAGTCTGTGTGCAGAAAACAGGACACAGTTAAAAAATGAATGAACTGACCACAAAGTGTGGATTCCCCCCGAATGTTTGGAAGAAGAACGGTCCCTAGGCTGGCCATTTGGCCTGGGACTTGGTGCTTAGAGATGGAGGGGACAGAGGGAGTTAGGTTCAAGCTCCTGTGCTCCCAGGTGTGGGAGCAGAACCTCAGGGAGACACCTGGTACAGACGATGTTTTTCCAACGCTTATGGCCACCTTGAGTAAGAAGTAAATTTTACATCTTAAATATTCTACTAGTTTGTTTTATGTTGTGATAGAACAGTGACCAAAACAACATGAGGAGGAGAGAATTTGTTTCATCTTAGACTTACAAGTCACAGGTCATCATCTGGGGAACTCAAGGCAGGAACCTGGAGGCAGTAACTGAAGCAGAGGCCGTGGAGGGGTGCTGCTCACTGGCTTGCTCCTCACGGCTTGCTCAGCCTGCTTTCTTAGACAACCCAGGACCACCAGCCCAGGGGTGGCACCAAATCCACATCAAACATTAATCAAGAAAATGCATCAAAAACTTGCCTACAGGCCAATCTGATGACAACATCTTTTCAAGTGGGGTTTCTTCTTCCCAGATGACTCCAACCTGTGTCAAGTCGACAAAAAAAAAAAAAAAAAAGATATTCACATATAATTGAAATTAACAACTCATAAAATGACACATGCTTAGAATGTAGAATGTGCTCTGATGGTCTCACTTCTGGGTTAACCTGTTGTTCTCTTAAACACTGGTTGTAATCCACTCAGTTTAGTTTTTAAGAAGCCACCCCTAAGTCATAACCCATGGTTTGAAAAGCATTAACTTAAACCTACCTGAAGGAGATGTTGGGTTTTCTGGGAGACGGAATGCAAAGAAGTCCACCATTTCAGATTCCAGGTCATGGCATTGCCCAACTCTCCAAGGGATTGCCTATAGAAGCGGAAGTCTGTAGACCCAGACCTCAGAATCTCGAGGCTCAGCCGGCTAGTTCAAGTGTTCTCGCCAAGCTAGAGTGACCAAATCCTCAGCCTCTAAAGGCCTCCACTCACCCACTCAGAAAACACATGTGGGGCACCTACGATGTATGCCAGGTTCTGGAGCTGGTTCTGGGAAGGATGGAAGAGACAGATGGGACAGTGGAGGCCACAGACCCACCTCTCAGAAGGGACCATATTGGTTTGGGCATTTGGGGCTACAAGTAGCAGAAGATTCGCACCAAAATTATTTAATTTTTTAAATTAAATTATCAATTATTTAAAGAAGAGCACTGATCCTCTTGTACTGTGGACTGAGGCTGGGGAGTTCCAAGGAGGCTTCTGCAACAACTGAACCACAAGGGCTCTTCTGATATCCCCGTCGCCTCAGCATGCTGGCTACCTGTGACTACGGCCTCTATGGTAGCTCCGGGAAACATGCTTCTCAAAGCTGAACCTGGAAACATTGAAGCATCCTCCCTCCCTCCCTCCCTCCCTCTCTCCCTCTCTCCCTCTCTCCCTCCCTTCCTTCCTTCCTTCCTTCCTTCCTTCCTTCCTTCCTTCCTTCCTTCTTCCTGTTTTTATTTCAGACAGGATCTCACAATGTAGCTCAGACGGACCTTGAACTCTTGCGATCCTTCTGCCTCAGCCTCCCAAGTGCTAGGATTGTAGGTGTGCACCACCACCTCCGCCACGTGCCTCTTTTGGAGGGAAGAAAGTGAACTGAGCTAGGTGTGGTGGCCACACTTGTCACCTCGGCTCCCAAGTTTGACACTAGTCTCCTCTGGCAAGACGTACAGGACGTGTGTATACTAAAGGCGAGGCATATGATACTGGAAATGTGAGGAGTTGCTTCCTCTGGCAACCGTAGCCCGAGTTCACACGGCTTCATGCCAGGGAGGAAGTGACAGTTATTATGATAAAATGGGTGAGAGGCCTGTATTAGTTGTCTTTCTGTTTAAAAAAAGGTGATATTTTATTTGTATTAAAATGTTATTTGTATGTTAATAAATAAAGTTGCCTGGGGGTCAGAGCTATTAGCAAGCCATAGGAAAGCAGGGCAGTGGTGGCGTACACTTGTAATCCCAGCACTTGGTAGGCAGAGCTAGGTAAGTCTCTGTGTGTTCAGGGATACAGCCAGTATTGGATACACATGCCTTTAATCTCAATACCAATCATGGAAAACCTGGAGGTCTATACAGACAGGCCGTGAGGAGGCGGTCATGTGGTTGGGTTTACAACCAATGAGAAGGCAGAACAGGAACTCTATATAAAGACTTTAACACAGGGGTAACTCTGGTTCGGAGAGGTAGGACCACTGCGGGGAGGAAGGGTAAGGTTTTAGCTCTTAGCTCTGACCTCTTGGCTTTCTTCTTTGCATTGGTTCTGTGATTCTTATTTAATAAGAAGGTTGGTTACATCTACGGTGGGGGGGGGGTGGAAACAAGGAAAACCTGCTTGAACATGGGCAGTAATTTTGTCAGTTTCCAAATTCACCAAGAATAAAGCAACTTAGACTCAAGTAACGGCAATAAAATAGTTTATAAGACAATTAAAATGTATTGAGGTCCCAGCTTGCGGTAAAAGTGAAATTCAGGTGACTCCAGCGAACTTGGGGACCCAGACTCCAAAGATTTTGACTTACTGAAAGACTTCAGAGCCCCAGGCAGAACGATTGTGAGAGTTTACTGCATTCTGGCCCCATGGAGATCCGTGCTGGACAGGACAGGTGTGGCCTCTGCCTCCACAGAGCCAAGAACCTTGCTCTAGGACAGTGGTTTTCAACCTTCCTAATGCTGTGACACTTTAGTAAGGTTCCTCATGGTGTGGGGACCCCCCACCACACACACACACACACCATAAAACCATTTTCTTAGCTACTTTGTAACTGTGATTTTGCCACTGTTAAAAAATGCAACATAATGGGCTAGAGAGATGGCTCAGAGGTTAAGAGCACCGATTGCTCTTGCAGAGGTCCTGAGTTCAATTCCCAGCACCCACATGGTGGCTCACAACCATCTGTAATGAAATCTGGCACCCTCTTCCATATACATAATAAATAAATAAATCTTTTAAAAAAATGCAACATAAATATCTGTGTTTTCCAATGGTCTTAAGTGACCCCCTGTGAAAGGACTGCTTGACCCTGGAGGGGGTCGAGACCCACAGGTTGAGAACCAATGCTCTAGGACCTTGAGAGGGGCCAAGATGCTAGAAGCATCCCACTTGGACAAAGCCAGGCCTCGGAATCAAGGCCAAATCTACCTGAGCACCTTGGTGTTTGCCCTCAGGCTGCCCCCTGTCCTCCACAGATGGCATCCCAGGGGACAGAGGGGGTAAGAGGAACACAGAGGTGATTCCCTGCCATTTCCAAAAGCATGGACTGCTCGGCAGCTTTGCATCCCACACACCTCACAAGGAGAGATTCCTCCTCCCTCCCACGCTGCGGCTGCTGCTGCTGCTGCTGCTGCTGCTGCTGCTGCTGCTGCTGCTGCAGGCTGCGGCCCAGAAGAGAGGAAAAACACGGCAAAGCCATTTTGAGAAAGATCGTTCAGAAGTCCTCGTGTGAGACCCTCCAGGAACACTCGAGCAGACTTGGGGACAGGAGAAGGCAAGAGATAATGAATTGCGCGCTACTGGGGTGCTGTGGCCCCCAGTAGTGCCACTGGCAAGTGAGTGTTCAGAGC